CTGTAAACAGAAACAGAAAGGTAAGCTATTAGTGGAATTCTCTTGTACTTCTTAGTTCCTTCATATCAAACAAGAATTCAGTGGTTAACCATAGTCAACTAGGCCCATGCCCTCAAGCGTCAAAGCCATCGATGGCAGACATGACAAAGGGCTGACAGGAGCCTCGTGCCCTTCTGGAACATGAGCTGGAGGTAAAGTGCAGTATTTGAGGATGTATATGAGGAAGAGGAACCCAGACGATGGGCTCTGACTCCTCTGCTGTGTAACACATCCTCCATTACACTGTTGTGTGTTGCGTACATTGCTTCCTCTTGCCTTTGACACATCTCCTTCTTCACAAATATCCTCACCAATGTCTGGGAAACCACCAGTTTTGTTTGATCGGCTACATTACAAAACACCTCCACTTTTAGTTTTGTACCAGAGAAGACACAAGCTTGGCATAAATTCCCTCCAGCACCCAGACCCAGGTCTATGCTGTGAACAGCAAAATTTTCTTCTGAATTTAAAGGATTTCCACGCTTTGACATGCATAATCCTTTTCAGTCATTTAGCCCATAACCTACAGCAGCAACTAGACAACCCTCAATTTACTAACACTTAGGCTTTTGTGAGTACAGCCTCAGAAAAGGGAGTCATCCTTTCTGATCTGTTCTACTTTGTTCTCCCTTCCACATGAGTCCAGCCTTAAGGAAGAAGTTAATATATGCTAAACAAATATTCAAAACATTTGTTAAAGAAATAAAAGGCAAAGGTTGACATGTAAAACTTACTTCTTTTGCAGGTCAAACTTCTGCTGCAGGTAGAAAGGAAAAAAACTATTTAAAATATTTAAACTTAGAAGGCACTGAGCTTTAAATGGGGAAGATGCCACTCTGTTGTTCCCAGCTGTGCTGCTGGACATCTTTGCATGGCCAGAGTCAGTGTGAAACTACTTGGCTCTCACACAGTTCTTCCTCAAGGATGGTGCTTCTCACGCAGCAGAATCACTCTAGCTGAACCGTATTAGCTTACGTGTATGTGATGTGTCTTTGTCCACCATCCTGCCATTGACTTTGGCCCTCTCGGCAGGAGACCCACAAGAGATAAGGGGTGTCAGGCCAGATAGTGCACATAGGCATAAATCCGTAGGCATCAGGAAGTAATGGCCACATGGAAACTGCAGTAGCAGGTGTGGGGGAGGGAGCTGTATGGGTGCCCAGCGCCCATCTACGTGCAGGCTGGGTTTGAGAAGACTCTATTGTGCCACATAAGTTGGCCGAGTTCTTCCTAGTTGGTAGCTAAGTCTACTTATTTTTCAATTTAAAGTCACAACAATCAATATTTTAAAATGCTTTTTATTTTGCAGGGCGCCCCTTGTTAGGTGAAGGTAAGTGCTCATTTCTCCTTGCAAATCAGCCCTCCATAAATGCCTTTAAATATGTGGGGGACATCTGCAAGGAGCTATCATGCTGCCCTAACTTAGAGTGGCTTGTTTCCTGTCTTTTTTTTGTGGGAGCACAGGGCATTTGTTTATACAAATGAGATATTTTAGGGTCATTGGTAGGAGTTACTGAAATTGGGGTAAATAGGTCACGTGTGATAGCTAGAAGACATGGTGAATGAGAATCTTTGGGCAGAAGGGCATCTCCTTAAGACTCCCCGAGACTTCATTCAGACATGCTATGAGTACTTTTAGAATATGGGAAGTATTACACTGTTAGTCCCTCAGTTAACTGGTGGCTAACCTTAACCCTCCCAAGCTGCATTTCCTGGCAATTCCTTGCTGTTAAAGAGCCTGCCACATCAGCTTCCACATCCCCATTCCCTTCCTGTCCAACTCCTCAGAGAATTTCAGCAAGGTGAGGCAGAGACATAAAAAGAGAGAAGTGAAGGCAAGAGGTAGGCTTGGTTTGTTGACCCTCTTCTGTGAGATCTCTTTAACTCGGGTGAGTGTCCATGGCAGCTACCATTGCATTGCTGCTGGTCACAGGTGCTGAGAAAGTTTCCCAGGACAGGACACAGTGGCCTCAACAAGTGGGGAAGACAGACACTTTGATAGTGGGTCACGTTGTTCAGAGTGGCATTGGACCCTTGCAGAGGGGAGCCTCTCCATGTGGGCCACGAGCGTGGTGTCCTTGGGGTCCCTGCAGCAGGTACCCATGTTCAGGCAACCCAGCTGAGGCTTTCAGGTGTGGCTGGACTCTGCGTAAAGGGCTTGCCCCTGGAAAAAGCTCATGTGGGAAGGAGGGACGAGGGAAGGAATGACAGAGAGGGAGGGAAGGAGAGAAGGAAGGAAATACCGGTGGGGTGGAGGAATATGATTTTCAGTGTGGACAGAAGTCACGCTGTGTGAGGTCTTCTAAGTCTAGCTGGGTGGCCTTGTCAAGTTGCCTTTGTTCTGCTGTGAGGCACCAGCGCCCTCAAGGTTGCCAGGGGCAGGACTTGGCCTCAGCACACACTTGCACTAGTCCATGAACGCACTTGACTTCTCGGGAGGGTCCCAACTCCAGCAAACACCTTCCCCGGGGCTTCATGCCATGCATCCTCCACCGGCTGTAACAGCCTTTCTCCTCTCCTTTGTAGGACAACTTCAAGAGGAGATAGGGGGGTACTGCCTGGCATGCGGGAGGCTGCTTGTCCCTAGAGTGCAGGGTGGGAATGGGGAGCGCTCTGTGTCCCTGGGCCCAGCCCTCCTCCCTGCCAGCCAGCAACAGAGTTCACAAGAGGCTGCTTGCCTCCCTCTCTGCCCCTTGCCCTCCTTCCCTCACCAGGCACCGCTGCTCTGGCACGACAGCTTCGACAGGAACGCACAGGGGGAAGACAAGGGCTTTGTCAAGGGGTCCCGTCCTTCAAAGTGGGAGTCCACCCTTGCCAAGGGGAACGTTCCCCATATGCCTAGCTTCACCCTCCCCAGCTCCATTTCATGGCAATGACTCCCTGCTAAAGAGTCCACCCCCACCTACCCATGCTTCTCACCATCCTCTTGGGCAATGCCCTTCCTGGAGCTACGGGCTCCTTGGAGGTGGTTCCCTTCATCTCCTCTTGGCCACACAGAAGGAGCCCGTGGCCTCCCCTGCCAGGCCAGGCCTGGCGGGACCTCCACTGCCCGCACAGCTGGGGAGCTTTCTGCTAAAGCCCCTCCAGCTTCTCCCTATCCCTTGTGAACTCGGCAGCCCACAGCTGAGTACTCGATGCCAGGTGTCGTCTTCCCAGCCTCTCTCCGTGCATCCGTTGGCCATGCTTCCAGAAACTCCTGCAGCATCTTGCCTTGCAGCTGCTGAGAGCCCGTGGTTGGCTCTTCTGCAGAGCCTCTGGGCTCCATGCTGGGTCCATGCCACGGTGTCCCCATTCCTGCAGACCCCTTTCCCCCCAGTAACCATGAACTCAGGCAAAGGAAAGGCAGACGCAGCCAATCGCCCAAGTCTGGAGCCCAGGTGGGGTCTGAGCCCCGTGATCTCTCTTTGCTAACTGCCTTTCCCCTTCCTTTTGTAGCCCGGGTGCAAGAGGAGAAAGGTAAGTGGTCTCTGCTGCCTGGGGTGTTGCCGTTCCGGAGGGAGAGGCTCCTTCCAAGAGGGACATGCTGGTGTCTGTGGGACAAGGGTCTCTCCATGTGGGCCACGAGCGCGGTGTCCTTGGGGTCCCTGCAGCAGGCACCCATGTTCAGGCAACCCAGCTGAGGCCTTCAGGTGTGGCTGGACTGTGCGTAAAGGGCTTGCCCCTAGAAAAAGCTCACGTGGGAAGGAGGGAAGAGGGAAGGAATGGCAAAGAGAGGGAGGGAAGGAGTGAAGGAAGGAAATACCGGTGGGGTGGAGGAATATGATTTTCAGTGTGGACAGAAGTCACGCTGTGTGAGGTCTTCTAAGTCTAGCTGGGTGGCCTTGTCAAGTTGCCTTTGTTCTGCTGTGAGGCACCAGCGCCCTCAAGGTTGCCAGGGGCAGGACTTGGCCTCAGCACACACTTGCACTAGTCCATGAACGCACTTGACTTCTCGGGAGGGTCCCAACTCCAGCAAACACCTTCCCCGGGGCTTCATGCCATGCATCCTCCACCGGCTGTAACAGCCTTTCTCCTCTCCTTTGTAGGACAACTTCAAGAGGAGATAGGGGGGTACTGCCTGGCATGCGGGAGGCTGCTTGTCCCTAGAGTGCAGGGTGGGAATGGGGAGCGCTCTGTGTCCCTGGGCCCAGCCCTCCTCCCTGCCAGCCAGCAACAGAGTTCACAAGAGGCTGCTTGCCTCCCTCTCTGCCCCTTGCCCTCCTTCCCTCACCAGGCACCGCTGCTCTGGCACGACAGCTTCGACAGGAACGCACAGGGGGAAGACAAGGGCTTTGTCAAGGGGTCCCGTCCTTCAAAGTGGGAGTCCACCCTTGCCAAGGGGAACGTTCCCCATATGCCTAGCTTCACCCTCCCCAGCTCCATTTCATGGCAATGACTCCCTGCTAAAGAGTCCACCCCCACCTACCCATGCTTCTCACCATCCTCTTGGGCAATGCCCTTCCTGGAGCTACGGGCTCCTTGGAGGTGGTTCCCTTCATCTCCTCTTGGCCACACAGAAGGAGCCCGTGGCCTCCCCTGCCAGGCCAGGCCTGGCGGGACCTCCACTGCCCGCACAGCTGGGGAGCTTTCTGCTAAAGCCCCTCCAGCTTCTCCCTATCCCTTGTGAACTCGGCAGCCCACAGCTGAGTACTCGATGCCAGGTGTCGTCTTCCCAGCCTCTCTCCGTGCATCCGTTGGCCATGCTTCCAGAAACTCCTGCAGCATCTTGCCTTGCAGCTGCTGAGAGCCCGTGGTTGGCTCTTCTGCAGAGCCTCTGGGCTCCATGCTGGGTCCATGCCACGGTGTCCCCATTCCTGCAGACCCCTTTCCCCCCAGTAACCATGAACTCAGGCAAAGGAAAGGCAGACGCAGCCAATCGCCCAAGTCTGGAGCCCAGGTGGGGTCTGAGCCCCGTGATCTCTCTTTGCTAACTGCCTTTCCCCTTCCTTTTGTAGCCCGGGTGCAAGAGGAGAAAGGTAAGTGGTCTCTGCTGCCTGGGGTGTTGCCGTTCCGGAGGGAGAGGCTCCTTCCAAGAGGGACATGCTGGTGTCTGTGGGACAAGGGTCTCTCCATGTGGGCCACGAGCGCGGTGTCCTTGGGGTCCCTGCAGCAGGCACCCATGTTCAGGCAACCCAGCTGAGGCCTTCAGGTGTGGCTGGACTGTGCGTAAAGGGCTTGCCCCTAGAAAAAGCTCACGTGGGAAGGAGGGAAGAGGGAAGGAATGGCAAAGAGAGGGAGGGAAGGAGTGAAGGAAGGAAATACCGGTGGGGTGGAGGAATATGATTTTCAGTGTGGACAGAAGTCACGCTGTGTGAGGTCTTCTAAGTCTAGCTGGGTGGCCTTTCTGCTGCCTGGGGTGTTGCCCTTCCGGAGGGAGAGGCTCTTTCCAGGAGGGACCGGCGTGGGCAAGGCTTGCTTTGTGGTAGCTGGTGGGGATGCATTCATGGGCCTTTTTTTGAGATATAGCAGAAGAGCTTCCATGCTTTTCAAGGGCTTCTTGTACAAATGCTTATGGTTCTGTGTTTGATTGCCCTTCTCTTTGTTATTGCCATGCAACTGGTGAGAGAAAAGAGTAAGTGATATCTTGTTACTGGTGCTCCTTCAAAATGCACAGCTGCTGAGATGTCCTTTGAAAGCCTGCTCAGCTCAGGAAAGTGCTCTCGCCTCACTCAGTTTTGTTGGGAAACATCATGTAATGCTAAGGAATACCTTTGTACAGGAGAGGGAATTAGGCTAAAGGATCACATGGGATAAATCCTGGACTCTAAAACCTATAGGGATGGGATTAGAAAGCAGTTTTGCAATGAGGTATTGTCAAGTGTCTGGAAGGCACTGGGATGCCCCCTTTCATGAGAGCTGTGAGATACCTCTGCAGACATGAGGTCTTTCGCCTTTTTACCGGTCCCCTCTCTTTCCTACCACGGACCATGTCCTCTTTCCACTCTGTATTCATGGTGTGTTTAAAACATTTCTGTGAGACCAATCACTTGAGTGGCCCACTGGCTTTTCCTCTCTGGAGGATGAGATGGGCTTGTGATGTACTTTCTGACCTGTAGAAAAGACATGCTACTGCAGAAGAGCATGCTCATCTGCCACCATCATAGACTGTGTGTGAGCTTGCTGGACCCATGGTCTTCTTGTTAACTCCACTCAGTGTCTCCTTTATTCGTTTTCCTACAGGATTTCTGCAGGCACAACGACAGAAAGGTAAGAAAGGAACCCATGCTGAATCCCATCTTTTGGAGCCTGAATGCAGCTCTGGACAACACGTTCCTCCTTCTCAGGGAATGATTCAGATGACTACTTAACAGCAAGAATTGTTTCTAAATCTTTCTCGTATTCATTTGCTGCCCAAGAAACTTCACAAGTCAGTGTTAGTGTTTCCGGCATTTAAAGCAGCATTACTGATTCTCAGAAGAAAAGGGTGGGTTTTAGCAAGGAGAGGCTCATTTCAGGGTGTTTTTGGAGCATTTCTACTGCTGAGCATGCGCAAACCTGGTGTATTTGTGTCATACAGTCTTGGTCAATGGAATTTCTCCCCATACTCTCATGCAAGCGGATTCTGTGATTCTGGTTTTGGCCAAAGAGGAGGTGTGTGCCAAGACATGGTTCTTATCCTCTGGTCACCTCTAGAGAGTTGCCACGATGAAGGCAGAGGCTTGCAATCTCCTTACATTCCTCCCTGGAGCTACATGACATCTTCAAGGGAGTGTCTTTGAGTTGCTTTGCATTTGGTGCATGCCGACCACTCTCTCAGCATGCCATAGATGAGAGACAAGGGACGTGGGAGACTTGGGACAGCAGAAGCTAGAGGTATCCTGGGCAAAGAGGCTGCCCAGGATGCATCAGAGTGGAGAACAAGAGATGGCAAGGGAACCAACGGGAGGGGACACATAATAGAAAGTTTCACAGCAGCAGCCTTTATGCTTTTTACTTCTTAAGTGACTTGATTGTTGCAGTTGATGTCACCCTGGACGCTGACACAGCTCACCCCAGACTGGAAATCTCTGATGATGGGAAGAGTGTGAAAGATACTGGCACCATCAGAAAGGTGCCCAGCAAGGAGAAGAGGTTTGATTCCCACACTTTTGTGCTGGCAAAGGAAGGATACACATGTGGGAGACACTACTGGGAAGTGGACGTTGGCAAGAGAAGAAGCTGGACCTTGGGTATTGCCCAGGAACCTGTGACTCGCAAAGGGACAGTGACTCTGTCCCCTAAGAATGGCTTCTGGGTCATAGGGTTTGCAGATGGGCGAGAGTATTGGGCCCACTCAGATCCTTGGACCCGTTTGAGTGTGAGTGGGAAGCTGCAAAAGATTGGGATCTTCCTGGACATCTCAGCCAAGCAGCTGTCATTTTACAACATCCGTAAGAAAGCAGTTCTGTACACTTTCACCTTGGGAGGTGACAGCAGCCCGGAAGGGAAATTCTTTCCCTTATTCTCAACAGGCCCTGCTGCTGCAAAGCCTGACACTGAGCCTCTGGAAATAGTGCAGGGGTTTGATGATGATGAATAGTTCACTCGAGATTGTGAAGGCCTATAATGTACAGCCAGTGATCAGACCACGGTGTTGTGAGGCTGCTGCCTAATTTGTGTCTCCTGAATAGAGCTAAGTAAGGAGAGGACAGATCATTGTGGCCAGCTCTGACGTTTTTTTTTAACTATGCATCAGAATGAAAAAGCTTGTTGAGGGAAATTTTAGGTGCTCAAGAAAAACAAACGTTCTTTCATGATAGTGTGGAATGAACACTTTCTATGTAAGGTGAATTTTCCTGAAAAATTACTGTCCTTTTCTGATATTTTGTGGTTTGGGGTTTTGTTGAGGAGGGAGAGCGATAGAGTGGCTTGGCAGGCACCTGGCAGCCAGCCAAGATCAACCCACCACACATGTCTAGATGGCTTTTGAACTTCTCCAAGGACAGAGACTGCACAGCCTCTCTGGGCAACTTGTACTTGTGCTTGGTCACTCTCAGAGTAATAAAGTGTTTCCTGATGTTCAGGGGGAACCTCCTGTGTTTCAGTTTGTGCCCATTGCCTCGTGTCCTGTCACTGGCACCACTGGCAAGAGCCTGGCTCTGTCCTCTTTGCACCCTTCCTTCAGGAATTGCTATACATTGATAAGATCACCCTCAAGCCTTCTCTTCTCCAGGCTGAACAGTCCCAGCTCTCTCAGCCTTTCCTCCTGTGAGAGATGCTCCAATCCCTTAATCATCTGTGTGGCCCTTCCCTGGACTCTCCAGTATGTCCATGTCTCTCTTGTACTGGGGAGCCCAGAAGAGCAGATGTGGCCGCTCCAGTGCTGAGGAGAGGGGAAGGATCACCTCCCTCGACCTGCTGGCAACGCTCCTCCTAATGCAACCTAGGATACCATTAGCCCACTTTGTGGCAGGGGCATATTGCTGTCTCATGTTCAACTTGATGTCCACCAGGACCCTGAGCTCTCTTTCTGCCAAGCTACCTTGCAGCTGGGCGGCCCCCAGCATTTGCTGGTGCCTGGGGTTTTTCCTCCCCGGGGCAGGACTTTGCACTACTCTTTTTTGAATGTCAAGAGGTTCCTGCCTGCCCATTTTTCCAGCCTGTTGAGGTCCCTCTGGATGGCAGCATGACGATCCATGACTATGGTGTATCGGCCACTGCTCCCAGTTTGGTGTCATCAGCAAACTTGCTGAGGGTGCACTCTGCCCCATCACTGAGATCATTAATGAAGATGTTGAACAGGACTGGAAGCAGTATTGACCCCTGGGCTACACCGCTTGTTACTGGCCTCCAACTAGACTTTGTGCCACTGATCAGGACCCTCTGGGACCGGCCGTTCAGGCATGTTTCAGTCGAGGACCCTATCTGCTCATCCATCCCATACTAGGCTTCTTTTTCACTAGCACTTTTTTACTAGTATTTTCCTGAGTATCAGTTAATTCAGTATCTAAAACTGAGCCTTACATGTAAGTCATGAATTGCCACTGAAATAAAAGGGTTTCTTTTATTTGTTTTTCTTAGAGGTGTTATAAAGTTTACAGAAGTTGTTTATCGCTAGAATAATGTGGACCATTTAAGTCTGCCTGTCATGTAATTGAATCAATGCACAATTATTCGCATGGTGTGTTGGGTGGAAAAATTCTCAATGCTGTGCAACCAGTGCTCAGCAACAGCCAAGACACTGGTGTGTTATCAATACAGTTTCAACCACAAATGCAAAGCACAGCACCATATGGGCTTCTATGAAGAAAATGAGCTCCATCCCGGCCAGACCCAGCACACATGGTCAAGACACGTTGTTTGCTTTTGGAAGATACTGAAATAGTCCTCTGATATCCTTGTTTAGAAATCAGTTGCATTTTTACCATGCATAGAAAGAGTCAAATCCTATTCGCAATGGAGTTTTGTGAAATGTGTGCAGTAAACATTTCTGTGAAAACTGGGAAGATGCCTCACACTCTTACAGAGAAGGTGAAACTGCTCTGCGCACCAATGCCTTTGTTCGTTTGTGTCACTTGGTTTCAAGAAGGTCACTTCTCTCTTGAGTTCAGAAGAGCCTATCTCAGGGTAGGATTCAGCGCACAGACCAAGGGAACTCGATTTTAGAGTAGGGGTCCATTGCACAAAGCTTGTCATCAGTTCAAAACAGTTTGTGCACCACACCTGCCAACCTCATACAGATGTTTCAGATGCTGGTGGGAACCTGTAGAGCCACTAATCACCTTCATGTTTAAGTGAGATAATATAAATGTGTTGACTTACACACTGGTCTCCAGTACCTTTTAGACGGACTGTCTTCAAACTGGCTCTGCAAAGACACTGTGCAGACTGCACTCATCCTGGTGGCTCCCACATATTCCTGGTACAGTTATCCCTGAGTGTATGGGGTAAGGGGATGGAAACTCTGACCCACCAGAACCTGCGCGCTGGTGAGGTTCACTGAGGTCAGTGGCGTTGGCCACTACTTCTCTTTCTCATCTGCACAAGAGTTACAATAAACCTGAGTCTTTCATCCACTTAAAAAAAAAAAAGAGAAATCCATCAAACGGGAAAAAAAAGCCATATTTACTTCTACTAAAAATTCTGATTACATGAATAACATACCAAAATTATTATCTCAGTTGGATTTGTAGAATAGCAAAATCTGAAAGAAGAGCAAGACATAATACTTCGTCTAATGGCTCTGCACTGTAACTTCCCATCCGCTTATAGAATCATAAGATCATTTAGGTTGGAAAAAACCCCTTAAGATCAAGAGCAAGCGTAGATCGTCAAGTCCAACCGTAATGCCATCCTTAGCTAGCCAGAGAATACCTCAGGCTGCAACTACCTTGAATCAAAAGCTAAATTGTTTATTACTACTTGCAAAACCCTTTCCAATCAAACTAGCTTTCCTGGACAGTATTTCATATTTATGAGTTTTACCAGAACTTGTAATCCAATGCTTCCCAACGTCCTCATTGCAGACCTCTTTGGTTCCTTGCTTGCCATCATACACGTACGTGTCTTCTTTTCTTTGATCCTGACTGGATGATTAACTTTTGTAACAGTAAGCATTTATTCCAAGCATGGTTTTTCCATGTCATGAGAATAGTGGGATTTGAAATGCTTAGTGAGAGAGGTGATTTCTGGCCACTTTGCCATCACTACCTGCCAGGAGCTGGGGGTGAGCGCAGCATCCTGGCATCTGGACATGTGTCTGGTGCCTCCTGGGCTGATTAAGATATTGCCAGCACATTGGGATCTGGTGTTCAGATCTGTACTGGTACTGTCATGTACCAGTTCTGTCCCCGAGAAAGGGGAAGATATTCATACTTTGAACACCACCCCGAACATTGTTCAGACTGCATACCAAAAGCAGGAGGATAGGACTGGATTTCACACCTTTCCAAATGAAAAGGTTTGTTGCAGCTCCACAAGCAACACTGATGACAAGTCAGGCACGTTACCTCCAGGAGGCACCTGCTTCTTCCAGTTGACATAGAAGTACCTGTGATGAGTGGTGAACATGTAGAAACAGGAGCGGGAGGAATTTTTGGGAAGTGTTGTTTAAGCTCATCAGAGCGCTTTACCATCCTAGAACAGCGATCCACTTTTGCACAAACACATCATGAATGCTTACTGGGATCTTCAGCGACTGGCACAGAAAATCTTTTCATGCTCATGTTGACATTTGATGTAAGCTTCTGTATGCAAAACCCACAGTTGTTTTCGCTTCCTGGGTTGAGGATCCATTCCTTTCTGTGAGTGCTTAGAAGAACTGAAGGTCCCCTCTACCCAGTGACTAGTGGCCTGAAGTCTAGGTCTTCTCCTTCTTGACTGGCTCACGGAAGGATTAACAAGCAATGGTGGAAGATTCTTATATGAAAGAACTGTTCGGCTTTGATTTGGTTGCACAAACCATGGGTTTAACAAGAGTGCAGTGTGATCTCAGGCTCTGTGTTTCAGTCAGACATTAACCATGCATTCTCAATTCATCCATTCACTCATCATTCACTGGAAGGG